GTTACCTCTTTTGCCTATGTAAATATCTCTTAGTTATCAATTTCTCTCTCATAGTATATCTTAGTAAAGATTTCAAGGTATTGAAGACAGTTGATAGGTATTTATAGTATACAGCTTATATTTTACTTTAATTCATTAATAATGGGATTGATTTCTAGAATTGAGGATTTTTTAAACAATGATTTTTCTTTACATAAACCATAAATAATCATCTTCTATTAGAACGACTTTAAGTCTTTTTAGATTAATCATGATTATATTTGAATAGGTTATGCATACTGCAGAAAATATTATATCTTTCTTCTCAGAATTGTTAGTTAAAATTCAAGTGATTTAGTGGCTTCTATATGTAGCCACTTCTATATGTAATGGCTAACATACGTAGGTAAGTTAGAACTTTCACTAATAAGCCATTTTAGTCATATTTCTGATATTTTGCCAAAAAATAAGTAGCAATTACAATAGAAACCAGAATAAAAATGGATTATTGCATTTAAGAAGTACATATGTGTTAGGATCCTAGGATTATTATTGTAATTGAGAATAAACTTTTATACTGAATTTCTAATACCTGAGATAAAATATTATTGTCTTGTAATAGGAGAAACCCCATGGACCATTTAAAAATAAGCAAGCAAAGTTCATTTGAAACTAATCTCTTTTAATTTGGAGCCCACTTCCTTATTGACCCATCTAGAGCAGGAGTGCCTGACATTGACACCTCAGATCCTGGGATCATTAATAGAAGAAAATCAAGCATGTTTGTATCACCTAGAGGAAACCTCAGTTTATCTTGGGAAGCTTTCAAAACTGTATCCCTGAAATTCTAATTTGTCAAATGTTAATGTCTGCCACAAAAATACATTGTCCAGTAAGGATTAGGCAAAGTTCAAGTCATTTTTTGAATAATGGACATTTAACTCACAGTTTTATAATATTTCTTGAACATAGGTAATGGGGAAATCTGTTGGGGTATAGTGCTTCTGGTAAGATAATTATTCTTTGGAATATAGTTTAAGAAACACTGCTCTACAAGTGATAATCTAGATTACTAATTTTTTTTTTTTTCGAAACGGAGTTTCGCTCTTGTTACCCAGTCTGGAGTGCAATGGCGCGATCTCGGCTCACCGCAACCTCTGCCTCCTGAGTTCAGGCAATTCTCTTGCCTCAGCCTCCTGAGTAGCTGGGATTACAGGCACAAGCCACTGTGCCCAGCTAATTTATTGTATTTTTAGTAGAGACGGGGTTTCACGGTGTTGACCAGGATGGTCTCGATCTGTTGAGCTCATGATCCACCCGCCTCGGCCTCCCAAAGTGCTGGGATTACAGGCTTGAGCCACCGCGCCCGGCCTAGATTACTAATTTAATAGAAAAAACTATTTACTACTACAACTTAGTGTTTAAGGCTATAGAGATAAAAGATACAGCCCTACACCCTCAAGAAACTCTTGGTTTAGATGGGAAACAAATCATTACAATATAATGATTTTTTGAGATATTCGGAGTTAATGCGGTGATGTAGAGGCTGAATGTTTCTGAGGGAAGGTGCAGTGGAAGGGAAAGCACAGAAAAGGGAGAAAGGGACTGCTGTTGATTTGCTTCCTATTTTATGTGTTTAAGTTCGTAGGATATTATATAAGGTATTCAGTTCAGCTGAGAAATGTGTAATTTCATAAATCATAAATTGTTTTTGATGTTTTACAGGCTACCCTCACACCACTTTTACTGGCCATAACTAAAAGAAATGTGCAAATTGTGGAATTTTTACTGTCAAAAAAAGCAAATGCAAATGCAGTTAATGAATATAAATGGTATAGTATTTTTTTTATTAGAAACACTTGAGTAGTGTTCTAGAGTGATAACAATCAAGTCAGAAATATTAAATTGTTAACATTTACTTAAAATTGATAGCTTAAGTGAAAAATACCAACACAAATTATCAGTTAGGAAGAAAAGTCTTATTTGGACTGGTCAATACAAAGAACAGGATACAGTAAGATTTATCTTCCCTTTTTATATTGACTGATTTGTAATCTAATATTTTTGGTTGCATTATCTTCTATTAGCTAAAGTGTTTTTATGTTAGTTTTAAGAAGTATGAACTTTTTTAGTTTATAATTCAATATTGAATGATTAACACATTTATAGTATTTTTCTAGCTTCTCTTTTTCATACACTTAAAAAATGCAATGTTTGCTGGGCATGGTAGCTCTTGCCTGTTATCCCAGCACTTTGGGAGGCCAAGGTGGGTGAACCACTTAAGGCAAGGAGTTTGAGACCAGCCTAGCCAACACGGTGAAAACCCATCTCTAGTAAAGATACAAAAGCTAGCTGGGCATGGTGGCACATGCTTGTAGTCCCAGCTACTCAGTAGGCTGAGGCATGAGAATCGCTGGAACCTGGGAGGCCAAGGTTGCAGTGAGCTGAGATTGTGCTACCTCATTCCAGCCAGGGAAACAGAGCGAGAGACTGTCTAAAAACAACAACAAGAACAAACAATAGTAGTCAAAAATAGGAGTTTCAAATCATTTTGTCTTTAGGATGACTATTGCTTTAAGTTCTTTTCTTTGAAGAATAGTTATGTTAGGTTATCCCTACATGACTATAAATTGCTGTCACCAGATACTGTGAATTTATTTTTATTTTTTTGTTCATAATGTATTTTTATTTTTCATTTGTATGGGTAGAAAGAATTCAGTTATTTTTAACTAGATTAACATTTTAGTTAATGAACATAAGTCATAGGTGAGTGATAAAGAAAAGGAGATAGGCTTTTGATTCACAAGAGAGTGGGTGTAATTTCTACCTTCCTCACTTGGTAGGTGTGACCTTGTAGACATTACTTAGTACCAAGTATGATTTTCTATATGGAAAGGAGAATATACTATGTCCTTTAAGAATGATTGTGTGGACACATGGACACAGGGAAGGGAGTACTACACATCAGGGTCTATTGGGGGGAATGGGGAGGGACAGTGCTGGGGGGAGCTAGGGAGGGATAGCCTGGGGAGAAATGCCAAATGTGGGTGAGGGGCAGGAAGGCAGCAAAACACACTGCCATGTGTGTACCTATGCAACCATTTTGCACCTTCTGCACATGTACCCCAAAACCTAAAATGCAATAAAAAAGAAAAAAAAAAGAATGATTGTGTGGAATTAACATAATAAATATCAACAGCATTTGATTCAGTGTTTCATACATTCTTATCAGCATCATTAACTAAACTTACCATTACTACTAAGATCATTATTCTCACTATTGTTTTAAGCCTTCAGATTGCTCTCACTTGTCTAACTTCTAGCTGATTCTGAAGTACAAAATATTATATCAGTCTAAGAAGAAATAGATAATTCTTCACTCAAATCTGTGCCTCTTTTAGATTAGTGAACAGAGCATATTTTCTTGCCCCTCAAAGGACTTTATGTTAGCCACTTCTAGTATGCCATTTCCCAGTGGGACATGAGTCTTTTTGCCCCTTCGTTTTAGTCTTGGTGGTGATTTACAAGGATAAATACTTGAGCACTCAAGCTCCTTACGTTTGTTTGTATTATGTAAATGGTTAATTCTACACTGACAGGCAAATATTAAAACAGTTCTGTTCCTAATAATGAAGTTATCTCTGTTATTTTAGCACAGCCCTCATACTTGCAGTATATCATAGATCATCAGAGATAGTCGGCATGCTTCTTCAGCAAAATGTTGACATCTATGCTGAAGATATGCGTGGATTGACTGCAGAACGTTATGCTGCTGCTTATGGATTTGATGAGTAAGTGTTTACATTTAAAGGCTATGTGAGCATTCATAGTTTGTTTCAGGTAATTTTTGAAAGACAGTGAGTTAGTTCACTTCATCAGCCAGAAAGTGGACAAAAAGCTAGGCTAGTTAAAAGGAGGAATGGGTCCAGGATTCTTTCTTTTAGGATTTTCCACAGCTTTATCCCTAGGGATCCTAATGCTGGCTGCCTGATTTGAAGTAAACCCTTATGCGGGGGATAAACATAGTGTCACAATTTTGATTTTTCTAATTAGTTATTTGGGTCTTGAAATGTCCAGTTTAGCAGAACACATGATAGTGCCCCCTGGGGGCTGTCTTTCATACCTTCACCCCTGAATTTTTTAAAAGAATTTAAGGGGTTTCCTAAGTCCAATGAAGACATTCCTTTTGTACATGTCAGAAGAACTTGGGGGAAATGGCCATTCTCTTCATTTTGTTGTTTCCATTGATTCTGTTGCTGCATTGTTGTCATTGAAACAGCTTCTGCAGTCTGGAAATGATTGACTTTTGTGACCAGGATGCCCTTACTAATACAGATCCCTCAGTCTTCATGGTGATCCATATATAGGCTTCAAAGTTATTACTTTTTATTTTAAGTTTACATACATATTCTCAGCCATTGTTTCCAAAGCACCAGCACCCTGCTCCAGCAGCTAGGACTTTTAGCTTTAGCCACACACATAGTGATCAAATTGACCCTTCTTCTCACACTCAAAACCTGATGTGAAACCCATATCTTAGCTTGGACTTGGCCTAGACCTTCATGGTAAGAATCCTTTGAGTGGTTTTTTTTCTAGTTGTGATAGTTTGAAACTGTAAGCCAGGTTGAAATATAGAAAGAAATTAGTGGTCCATTTAATTTTTGTTACCAGATCTATATCCTTGGCCCTTTGTATCCTGTGTAGCACCATTTTGTAGGTAGTGGAGGAAGGTCTCATCTTGTTCTGGAAGGTTCCATGTCATCTTTCCCCAGTTGTAGTGGGTTCCAACTTGTGGTTTTCCCCTCAAGTGATTCTCTTTTTCTGAAAGAAAAATCTCCCATGCTACTTGCATCTCTATCTCGAGTTTTTAAAATATTTTCAAATTCTGCATCACCATGAAGCCATTCAATAAATCTCAAGTAAGTTGGTTAGATTTAACCAACTTCATTGATTTAAATCTTCATAGATGTAACTTACTTCATCCATGACTGATCAGTCTTCACATACAAAATTAGGGATTTGTGCTGGCTTCACTGGTACATATACTAAAATTGAAACAATGTCGAGAAGATCAGCATGGTCCCTGCACGAGGATGACACACAAATCTGTGAAGTGTTGCATATTTCTTGCCGTCCCCAAAGGACATTTGACGACTTTCTAACTAGCTCCAAGGAAATGGTGTCAGTCAAAGCGCAGTGGGTGACGCCTAGTACTGCAGTGGTGATTTTCATACAAAAAAAATTATGTAAGGTGATCTATAAAATGACATATTGGTGAGTAATACATAGGAACTTCTATGCAATATGTTTTTAGTAGGCATCTCATAAATGAGAAACTACCAACTTGCATCTTCTTTGTGGAACTTACAAAAAATAAAGGTAGTGTTTTGTCTTCCACAGCAGCTGGAAATGAGCATAGTGACCAAGCATCATTCTAACAAAGATTTGTTGGTTCAGAGTTTAAGTAGGTAGAAAAAGAGTAGTACTAGTCCAAGCCAGTTGCTGACATATATTAGTTTTCTGCCCATGATGTGATTGATGAGCTCAGTAATATAGGAAAATTAGGTTATCCAATTAATGAATTAATATATTTATTAATAAATTTTATTACAAATTATAAAATAGCTTAGATGTCCTGAATTACAAGCTACAAAAAATAGAACATCTAATAATCAAAAGTAGGAATTAATACCAAAATTGCAATATTTTGATGTTATAAACTATGAAGACTCTCTTTTTAAAAAAATTCTTTTTTTGTAGAGACAGGGGTCTTCCTATGTTATCCAGGCTAGTATTGAAATTCTGGGCTCAAGGAATCCTCCTGTCCCAGCATCCCAAAGTGCTTGCATCACAGGCATGAGCCACTGCACCAGGCCAACACACTGGGTTTTACTGGGAATTTTAAAAGTTTCAGCAATAAAGTTCACGAACAAATTATTTTATTGCTTCACTACTTCTTTGAGCACTTTAAAACTGTTATCTTGTTAAATCTTTATAACAACCTAGCACAAAAAGACTCTAAAATTTTCATTTTTAGAAGACATTGAGCCTAAGAGAAGAAACTTGTTCAAGAAATAAATACCTGTTGGTTACTGCACTAGGAGCTATTCTGAGTTAAGGACATTTTCCATTATGCCAAGCTAACTCTAGTTAATTGACTAAATTATACTGCCCTCAATTCATGAGTACTTCATCTTTGTTTCTTCTTTTATTAGAAGCTTAATAAGTTCATAGACCTTACAAACCTAAAGTCTATGGAATAAGTAATGTTCTGACATTAGCCCTGATATTTTCTGAAATACTCTAAGAACTTAATAAATGTGGTAAATGTTTTTTAATATCAGTGTTTTGGTTCTGTAATATGTTTTAAATTCAGGTAGTGTGATGCCTTTAGCAAGGTCCATAAATGATTTTAATTGGTGCCTTTTAAGTCTCTGATTTTATAGATTCTTTCCCTCGTTTGTTGAAGAATTCTGGTTATTTTCCCTATGGAGTTTCCTACAGGCTGGACTTTGCTGATTATACTCATGGTGTCATTCAACATGTTTCCATGCCCTGTGTATTTCTTGTATACTTTTAAATCAATATATTAAAGAGATATTTGCGTGCCCATGTTTACTGCAGAACTATCCACAATAGACAAAGTATGGAATCAACCTAAGTGTCCATCAGTGGATGAATGGATTTTTTAAAATGTGGCACATATATAAAATGGAATACTATTCAGCCATAAAAAGAATAAGATCCTGGCCAGGCACAGTGGCTCATGCCTATAATCCCCAACTACTCGAGAGGCCAAGGCAGGAGAATTGCTTGACCCTGGGAGGCAAAAGTTGCAGTGAGCCAAGATTGTGCTATTGTCCTCCAGCCTGAAACACAGAGTGAGACTCTGTCTCAAAAACAAAACAAGAATAAAATCCTGTCCCTTGAAAAAACAGAGAAGGAGCTGAAAGTCATTATGTTAAGTAAGATAATCCAGTCAAAGAGCTAAACAGGTGGTTCTTATGGAGGTAGAGGGTAGAAAGATTATCAGAGGCTTGAAAGACTAGGGTGCAGGGGATGAAGAGAGGTTGGCTAATGGGTGAAAAAAAATACAGTTAGAAGGAATAAGTACTATTTTTGATATCACAACAAGGTGATTGTAGTTACCAATAATTTATTGTATATTTCAGAATAACTAGAAGAGAAGATTTGCAATGTTCCCAATGCAAAGAAGTGATAAATATTTGAGGTCATGGATATTCTAAATAACCTGATTTGATCATTACACATTGTATGCATGTATCAAAATGTCACATGTAGCCTATGAATATGTACAATTGTAACATAACAATAAAAAAATAAATAAAATTTTTGATTCTAAAAAAATCAGTGTTAAAATTGTAATTTTATGTATTATATTTTTTATACATAGAATTCTTGAACAACTTTTGGATTATAAACAAAAGACATCCAAATATCCTCAAAATAGCAATCCAGGTAAGACTTCTGATATTAAACTACTCTTTGTGGTACCACCATAAGATTATGGAAGTTTTGATAACAAAAGAGCAATTAAAAAAGAAATGTATAAATAGCATGTGTTTACATATATACATATGTATGTATGCATATATACATATATATAGCTTCGGTTTAACTTTTTAATTTATAATTCATAATTAGTTAAGAATATAGTTGTAGGTAGTTTATAATCTCAAAAAATATTATCTGAAAAAATATTTGTTTAATTATGGCCCTAAAATCCTATATAACACTTTTGTATAAATAAGTAAAAGGATTTATAAGTTCATATATTGTATGTTTCCTCAATTGTTATAACAACTTAGGCTTGTTATAAAATATATGACCATCAGTATGACTGATGAACTCAGTAATAGGGAATAATCAGGATATTCAATTTAATGAATTAAAATATTATAAATAAATTTTATTTCAAATTATAAAATAACTTCGATGCCCGGAATTACAAGCCACAAATAACAGAACTAATAATAATAAATAGTCAGAATTAACAACAGAAAACTATAACATTTGAATATTATAACTTATCTCCATAAACATGGATATCTATCTATCTATCTATTTATTTATTTATTTATTGTAAAGAAGGGTCTCCTTATGTTGCCCAGGAGTGTCTTAAACTTCTGAGCTCTATTTATCTTTTATAATAAATGGTTGCATCCAGTAAATGAGAATTAGTTACAGTTGAGTATTAAGAAACATGAGAGTTAGGGTGCTGATTCCTCACGCAGCTGAAAATCTGCTTTATAAGAAAATCTATTTATTTTGATTCCCCCAAAACTCTACTAATAGTCTATTGTTGACCTGGAGCCTCACTGAAAGCATAAACAGTCAATTAACACATAGTTCATATTTTATATGTACTATATACTGTATTCTTACAATAAAGTGAGCTGGAGAAAATAAAGAGGAAAAATATATTCATTATTTACTAAGTGGAAGTGAATTATTATACATAAAGCTGTTCATTCTCATTGCCTTCATGTTGAGCAGGCTGATAAGGATGGGGCATAGGAGAGATTTGTCTTGCTACCTTATAGTGGCCAAGAACAAGAAAAATCTGCCTATTGCTGGGCTCCTACAGTGAAAGGTCAACTGTGTGGCATAGTGACTTGTGTCACTAAAAAAGTAACTATCTTTAGAATTTGGAACTCAATAATACTCTTCTGGCACCATAAACAAATGTCAAAAAGAATTACAAAACTTAGGGTGCATCAGTTTTGTAAGTGGAAGTGAATTATTTTTTTTTTTGGAAGTGAATTATTATACATAAAGCTCTTCATTCTCATTGCCTTCATGTTGAGCAGACAAATATTTGAAAAATAATCTCCTACTACTGGATGCAGAAGTCAGAAAGGCAATTCTTTTTTTGTGAAGTGCAGGTTATGTTACATAGTCTTGTACCAACAAGGTCTCACTATTATCAACTTCATTCCCTCTAGCTTGAAACCAAATCATATATATTTACTTCATTAGAACAAGATGAGTTGTTTTATCTGCTGGATGATTAGTGTGTTAATAGTAATTTTGTTACAACAAGATACTCTGTTCCTACTAGTCAAAATATGATCATTATAAATATTCAAATAGATAACTCTAGGCTCAACAAATTATAACAAGAGTACACAAAATTTTACAATATCAAAAATACTACTGTGATACCTAAATGTGACACAATGCATTGTACAATATGATCTGTATGAGCACATCTTTAATTTATTATATCGAAGGACTTTTATAAGTTAGGTTTTGCAAGTTACAGGAGACAAAGATGGAATACAAATAATTTAGGTCTTAAGGTGCTCATAATGAAGTGGAGCTGTCCCTATTGAATTTATGCATTTTTACTAGAATTTCCAAAAAACGCTTTTATCCGTTTATTCACTTGTTCACTTAACAAATAGCTGTCAGGTATCTTTAAGGTACTAAGCGTCTTCCTTGTTATTATCATTGTCATCTTTCTAATTATTTACTATTTTATTAAGGTACTAAACATTTTTCTTTCTATTATCACCTTTAAAAAATTATTTACTATTTTATTTAGTGCTTACTTTGTGCCAGAATCCCTTTGGGAGGTTATAATTATCATTTATGTCGTTACCATATTCATTGTGTCAGACATTTTATAAGCAAGGTGAAGAATTAAAGCTTTAAAAAGTTTGGTAGTGTCAAGGCGCAATGGCTCACTCCTGTAATCCTAGCACTTTGGGAGGTCAAGGCTGATGGATTGCTAGAGCTTAGGAATTTGTGACCACCCTGACTAACATGGTGAAACCCCATCTCTACTAAATACGAAAAATTAGCCAGACGTGGGGTGCGACTGTAATCCCAGCTACTTGGGAGGCTGAGGTAAGAGAATTGCTTGAACCCGGGAGGCGGAGGTTGCCGTGAGCTGAATTCACGCCACTGCACTCCAGCCTGGGCAACAGAGTGAGACTCTGTCTCAAAAAACAACAACAAAAAAAAAAAAAGAAAGAAAGAAAGAAAAGAAAGGAGAACAGTTAGGTAGTAGGTAGTATTTAAGGAAAGCATGCAGAACGAGAAGTTGGCCAGGTAAAGAGTCAAAAGGATAATATTTAGAGGAAGGAAAAAATTAACCAGATTGTGTGTTTGGCAGAAGGAACACCTGAAGAAACGCCTGACGCGGACACACGCTTGGCGGAGGGCACGCTTGACGAGGTTGCAGGCTTGGCGGAGGGCACGCTTGACAAGGTTGCAGGCTTGGCGGAGGGCACGCTTGACAAGGTTGCAGGCTTGGCGGAGGGCACGCCTGACGCGGATGCACGCTTGGCGGAGGGCACGCCTGACGCGGATGCACGCTTGGCGGAGGGCACGCCTGACGCGGATGCACGCTTGGCGGAGGGCACGCCTGACGCGGATGCACGCTTGGCGGAGGGCACGCCTGACGCGGATGCACGCTTGGCGGAGGGCACGCCTGACGCGGATGCACGCTTGGCGGAGGGCACGCCTGACGCGGATGCACGCTTGGCGGAGGGCACGCCTGACGCGGATGCACGCTTGCGGAGGGCACGCTGACCTTGGCGGAGGGCACGCTTGACATGGTTGCAGGCTTGGCGGAGGGAACGCTTGACGAGGCTGCACGCTTGGCGGAGGCCACGCCTGATGAGGATGCACACTTGGTGGAAAGAACATCTGAAGAGGTTAAATGCTTGGTGGAAAGAACACCTGAGAAGGCTGCACCCCTGGTGGAAGGATCATCTGACAAAATTCGGTATTTGAGGAATGCGACATCTGGAAGGATTGAACAGTCAGCAGAGGAAACACCTATGAAGCCTGCAAAAGAAACATCTGCGAAATTTGCGTGGACAGCACAAGGAAAACCTACGCAGATCACATGGGTGGAAGAAAAACAACCTGAAAAGACTAAATGCCTGGCAAGTGTAACATCTTATAAAACTGAAGTTGTGGAAACAGGAATATCTGAGATGAGCGAACGTTCCACAGAAGAAACATCTACAAAAGCCAGTACAAATGGTAAGATGCTTGAGTGAACTTTGTAGGGTTTATTGGCACTTCAGGTTCCCTAGTGGAAATAGTGTGATATGGGAGTAGTTGGGAATGACTTGACTATCTAGATAAGCAAGCTTAGACAACGCTTTTTAATAGTACAGAAATGAGTAGATCTTATTCTGTAGAACCTGGAAAAATTCTCAGAATACTTCTAGCTCTAAACACTAGACGAACTAACAATGGCTGAAAGCATAGGAACCGAATTTGTTTTGGTGGTACAGGGATATCTTAGTATCCCACTCCCCTCCCCACTGCCCTATTTGTTCTCCTTTCATGGCTGGCTAATTAGCAATAGCTACAATCAACATGCTTTCTCAAGGTAATATCTGAAGGCTGGAAGTGCTGCTTTTGTTCACATGCATCTTTTAAATAGGAAGAAAACTTGGAATCTTGTGGTAATCTTCCTGTAACATTTCATTGCCTGGATTATACCACATGCTCATTTGTAAACCAGTCACTAGGAAAGCATATGTAATTACTGTGATTAGCTTACAATAATGATTTCTTTTTTTTTTGGAGATGGGATGGGGCAATGGAATGATAAATATCTAAATAAACTTATGTTTCTGCAGCAAGAAAGAATAAATAGTGGCTATGCATACAAAGCCAGAAACATTTTCTGCAGGCATTCATTGGAAAAGTTTGAGCAGGGGAGTCACAAGATTAGATTTGAGTATCAGGGCATTTTAGTCATGGTATAAAGCAGAAATTGGCAAACTTTTCCTGTAAAGGGCCAGATAGGAAATATGTTAGACCATGAGGTCTCTATCACAGCTGTTCAACTCTGCCATTGTAAGGTGAAAGAAGTCATATAGGCATGATTATACTCTAATAAAACTTTGTAAGTAAAACGATTTGGTAAGTTGAATTTAGTCTGTGGCCTATGGTTTGCTGGCCGTTCATGTAGAAGATAATTGTAGGGTAATCACATAATAAGATTTAAAGGCAAAGGAAGCTTTTTTATAGTAGTTCATGCTATAGTCTTTTTTGTCACCAGTGTGGCCTAGTATCAATCTATTATGAAAGTTTGACCCATCAGGCAAAAATGAATCAAGTTCGGAAGCTCAATTGATATATTTAAACATGTAGGTCTTTCTATACCATTATTTTATTTTTATTTGTTTTACTGAATATTTTTAACTTAAAAAATAACAATAGTGATTGGTACAGTTTCTTTTTCCCTGTGAAAGCCATAAGTTAAGGGGTCATGTTTAGCTAGGAAACACACACAAATAAGTGCATTTACCCTTATCCATGGGAGGTATTTTCTAAGACACCAGTGAATGTCTGAAACTGTGGATAGTATTGAACCCTATATATGCATTTTTTCTATATGTGAATATTTATGACAAAGTTTAATTTATAAATTAGGCACAGTAAGAGATTAATAATAACCCATCATAAAATAAAACAATAAAAATATATTGTAATCTAAGTTAGGTGAATGTGGTCTCTCAAACTGTTCTGTTTTTCTCCCCTTTTTCTTTTGTGTGTTGATTGTGAGATGATATAATTCCTATATGATGAGATTAAGTCAGGTGAATGAGGTAGGTGTTGTCATGTGGTGTTAGGCTACTATTAATTTCTAGATATCTGACTACACATCTGAAGGAGGATCATCTGCTTCATGTGGCCCTGGATCATTGAGTCATGAAAACGTTGATGGTTGAGATTCAGGAACAGACAGTTTCGATGACTAATGGGCAGAGAGTGTATACAAAGGGATGATATGTGACCTGGGTGAGACGGAACAAGATGTCTTAATATTTTATCATACTCCTTAGAATGACACATTATTTAGAACGTATGACTGGTATATTTCTGGAATTCCCCATCTAATATTTTTGTACTATGGTTGACCTAAGTAACTGATATCACAGAAATCAAAACCATGGATATTATATTGTGAAATATATGTTTGGTCTTCAACACTGTTTTCTGCCATACAACTCATAAAATGTTTAAAATCTCCAAAATGGTGTCTTTCTATGCTAATAATTGAATGAGAGCTGGTAGTCCTTAGCTTCAGGATAGGAGTTTGTCACAAATAAAAGAACAAGGCATGATTACAGTATTGAGACTTTCAGACCCACCCCTCAGCCTCCTAGGAGGTGAGTAGAGCTGAAGGTTAGGTCAATTACCAATGGCCACAGATTTATTCATTCATGCCTATTTAATAAAGCTTTCTTAAGAACCCAGAAGGACTGGGGTCAGAAACCTTCTAGATAGCTGAATATATGGAAGTGTTTGGAGGCTGAAGTGCCCTGGGAGGGCATGGAAGCCCAATATTGCTTCTCCCATAGCTTGCCATATGCATCTCTTCACCTGTCTCCTTTGTGATATCCTTTTATAATAAACTGGTTTATTATATAAACTGGTGTTTCCTTTAGTCTTTGGGGCACTCTAGCATATTGCTCAAGCCCAAAGAGGAAGTCACGGAAACCCCAACTTGAAACAAGATGGTTAGAAGTTTTAGAGACCCAGATTTGCAACAGGTGTGGGAGGGCAGTCTTGTGAGACTGAGACCTGAGCCTTGGGATCTGACACTATTTCTAGATAGATAGTGCTGGAATTGAATCGAGGACAACCAGCTGGTATATGCTACAGAAATGATTGCTTACTTGTTGGTGGAGAAAACCCTCCACACACTTGGTTGCAGAAGTCTTCTGTTTTGATGATTGTTGTGGTGTAAGAGCAAAGGGAAATCATGTTGTGTGTGTTTCTTTCTACCCACAGAGCAGATAAAAAGTGACTACTTTATACTCTGTTCTAACTGCTCTTAGTTCATTTCTCTAGAAATTATACTTTCTAAGGTTGACACTATCCACTTATTCTGATAATGATACAATTTTCTGTCAGCCGTAAATGGTTCTGTTTGGATTATGACTATTGTACACTGTAGTTCACTTGTAGATATTAAATTGTGATAAAGTCTATCCTTCCTTGCATGTGAGAACTACTAAGGAGGGGAAATAATAGTTCTCAGTTCATTAGTTGCCTACCAATAGTATATTTAATAATTTTACTATAGTCTCAATGTATGGTCCCAAAGGAATGCTTTGTCACAAATCATCAAATCATCTGAGTCTTGGTAATAAAGTCTCAGAGTATTATGCTTCTATTTTTTATTTTTTGTGATGGAGTCTCCCTTTGTTGCTCAGGCTGGAGTGCAGTGGTGCATTCTCAGCTCACTGTCACCTCTACCTCCCGGGTTCAAAGGATTTTCCTGCCTTAGGCTCCTAAGTAGGTGGTATTACAGGCACACACCATCACACCTGCCTAATTTTCTTCCGTATTTTTAGTAGAGATAGGGTTTCATCATATTGGTCAGGCTGGTCTTGAACTCCTGACATCATGATCTGCCTGCTTCAGCCTCCCAAAGTGCTGGAATTACAGATGTGAGCCACCACACCCAGTCAGTATTATGCTTTTTTAAAGAAGACCAGAAGCATGCATGAAAGTGTGCATGATTCTTTTAGATTAAGTTGAAATCTTGCTGTGTGTCCCAGGATGCTCTCAGACATCTAGTTCCCAAAAGCAATCCTCCTGCCTCACATTCCCAAGTAGCTGGGATTACAGGCATGTGCCATCATGCCCTCTGATATTTTTAATATTCTGTATATTTTGTATATATTTGTTGATTTAATGTATTTTCCTTTTTTTAAATAGGGAATGTGAGCTCTGTAAAGTCTATATTCAGGTAAGATTTTACAGTTTTTTAAAACTTGTGTGTTAACTAAAAACCTAAAGAAAAGAAACCACTATCTGCTGAGTATTCTACTCTGGGCTAGACAATATATTATGTGCTTAACATTTTTTCATCTCATATAGTCGTCACACAGCTTTGCAAAGTATCTGTGCTACTATCACCTACTTTATATTAATCAGGCAACTGTGGTTCAGAGAGGTTGATTAATTGGCCTATGATTTCATAGATTAAAGGTAGCTGACCCTTGAGTTTGCCATTGCTCCCAAATCCCTCTTTTGGCACTCAGCATAGTTTGGCAGAATCTGTGAATCAGTAGAATCAAGGTACAGGTACAGATGGGATCAATTCACAAAGTCAGATTTTGTTATATGTTAACTTTTTTTAGAGTTTTCCTTTAGAATACTGGTTAATCCAAGAGTTTGTTCTAATGTGTGTGACAGATGAGCTGGTAACCAGTACCTTGTTTTTACCATGAAAGTTTTTAGAGCAGATCTTACCTAGCTGTGGCCACAAGACGTAGGTTTTTATTTCATAAGCAAGACCAGGTAAATTTTACCTGTTAGCGGAGATTATGTACACATATCTTAATGTTGTTCAAGACATAGGTTTTTGTTTCATAAGCAAGACCAGGTAAATCCTGGTCTATTTTGCCTGTTAGCAGAGATTATCTACATATATCTAAATGTTGTTAAGTATTTTTAAAGGTTTTTTTTTTAAACAGATTTCTTTATTTACAGACTTCCCAGTTTAGTTTTTCTTGAAGGCAGTACACTGCCTAGTTGCATGCATTCTTAATTTTTTTCTAGAATTTTTGTTCTTCCACCATGGCTTTTAAAAGTCTTTTCCTGATTACTTTCTTCTCTGATTTCCTTGGTGTTCTTTTCTTCTATTATTTTATTCCTTTCTGCCAGCCCCATATTTCTATAGCTAAAACGAAAAGCACATGGAAACTTAGGGTTGTAAGGACTCTTGGAGAATAATCAAAGTACATTCATATTTCGACCTATATTTAATATCCTGGAAGAATCGTTGTTCAGGTGGAGAATCTTAAACTCAAAGTAACTTATTTAAATATAAGAGGTAGCAGAAGTAACATTTGAACTCATTTCAAAGCTCATTATTCTGGTTTCTGTATCATCATGTAAGTGAGTGTTTGAATAATAGAAAGGAATAGGGAATGGGGCTAATTAAACCAATGGAAAAGGATAAGAATGGAATTAGCTGGAGAACCCAGTAGAAGTAGGTAAGAACGGAATTATCAGGGAAACGCTAAGTTTGAAGAGAAACAATCTCAGCGTTGGTAGGAGTAAGCATTTTACCAAAAAGATCAGAATATCGGCCTTCTGACAAGTTTGATGAAGACAAATTAGAGGAACAAAAACACAAAAGACATTGGGAGTTATCTGGAAAGGCATATTAAAATAGGTTTCAAAGTCCTGAATAGGTCACTGCATTTTTGTTTGTTTAATTAGAGGAATGAACAAACTTCAAGCTTTCTATTGAAAGAATTTCTTAAAAATGAGCTACTGGGAAAAGTCTCTATGAGCATATAGAAATGTTCTATTATGTTCTTTCACCCCAAATTTCACAGGAGTGGCTTAGAACACCTTGAGTGCTAGGAGACTGAAGTTTGCTGAATTACATAGATCTGTGCCCCAGGACAGGTGTCCCCTATCCTTTGCCTCACTTTTTCCAAGTGTCTGATGACCTACCCATGTACATGTAAAGCAGGGGTAAGATTGGCTGGCAAATAAGTCATGGAACTTCAGTTGGGTTTTTGGTAACATGCTTATGTTGGAAGTGAATGCCTGACTGAGTCTCCATTTAGGTGATTTTCAGAAACACGTAAATGCAGAGCTTCTAGGTTGTTGATTGGAGTTTAACTTTTCAGTAATCTGCTTTGATGAGCTGAATGTTTAAAGGTTGGAGACTGCTATGAAGCCCTGCAGAAGATAGATCTGGAAGTGGGTGACACTTGCAGTATATGTAGTATTTCCCAATTCCAGGTTTTTCTCTCTGTATATATATAGTACTTAGAGAAATTCAACCACCAGGACTCAGTTTTCCTAGCAGTCTCTCTACTTGGGTATGAATATTTTTAAGGCTTTGCTAGTTTATGTAGACATGAACAAGGAAGGACCAGTATAGAATAAGAAATCAAATTTTATTATTTTTAGTTTCAGTTTTTATTAAGAAAAATACTCCCAATAACAAATATACATTTGCGTTTTGACATTTGTAAGTTCAGCCTTTCAACATTTCAAATATTTCAGGGCATTCTCTGTAGTGTTTTAGGGTGAAGGGAAGCAACAGGGACTTCGTAAGTGGTTTTTATGCTGAGAGACAAAGAATGTCATTTTCCAGTGACACAGATTAGTCTTTGAATCAGGGATAGACAATGGACAAGGGACAAGGGACAAGGGACAAGGAAACTGTATCTTTCTACCTCATTTTAGGTTATCAAGTTTGTTCCAGCTTAGATAGCAGAAGTTATGTCAACCATTAAGTAGATTTTCAGTTTATCCTTGAGGACAGATGGTTTGTGAGGACAAATTATACTCTGGGTATGCCATTATATTGGCTGTAACTATTTGTTATGGAACTAAAAGTGAGTTTTCATTGGTTGTTAAATGTTGGGGAGGCGGAGTCTAAAATATGTAACTAAAATATTTTTTTTAAAACAGAGGCAGTAGTATAATTATACCCAGAAACAATATAGAGAAGGACTGATCTTCCCCCAGATTTTGTTTTTGTTTTTTATAGTGAGCACCAAGATAGGAGCTAGCAGAGTTTCTTTTTAAATACATGAATTTGCTCATTTTTGCTGTTATCTTTTTGCTTTTCAGCAAACCATCTATGGAAAATTTACAGTCTATAAAAATTGAGGAAGACTTCAGTCTTGCTAACAAGGTAAAATGGTCTCTTGTGAACTAACTGATTTTCTCAGTTGTACTCTAGTTCTGTATATATAGTATTTACTTTTGATGCTTAGCAGTGCTATAAGTATCATTATTTTATGTTGGTAATATCAAGTTGGTCAGATAAAAACATTTTATAAAAATATGACTAGTGGTTTAAAAATTTATGTTTTACTTTAGTAAATAATAAATGTTTGGTTAATACTTTGAGATGGTGAAGGCAAAATAAAGGAATGAGCTGGAGAATACCTAGTGACAGGTTAGAAGAACATTTTACACTATAAAGAATATATAAATTTTGGTAAATATTTATTTACATAAGTATTCTTACTGTGACTTTTAAAATTATTCTATTGTAACTTAATGAAACTGTTGCTTAAATTTATCTTTAATGGATTCAGTTACTTAGAGTAATCAAGGAATTTCTCTGATACAGTTATATTCCTAAACTGTACCACATGGGTTTTTTGGCACTTATTATTTTGATATCATGTAGGTTTTAGGAGACAGCTTTTTCTCAGTTTCTCTTCTTGGTTCTCAGATTACATGGAAATAATATTGGAAATGGTGAAAATTTATTTCGGCATGGTGGTACATGCCTGTAGTTCCAGCTACCAGGGAGGCCGAAGCAGGAAAATTGCTTGAGTCCAAGAGTGGGCAACATAGCTAGACCTTATGTCTAATTAGAAAAACAGTGTAGAAATTTAGAAATGTAAATTCTCTTTCTCACAATCTATATTGCTAAGGGATGCCAGTGTGTTTTCTAAGTTATTTCATGAAAAATATACTTTAAACTCTTCATCTAAATGAAGAATGCTGGTTTTACCCCAAGTAAACAACCAGTTCTGCAAGCAAAGACTCTTTTTTTTTTAATTTTTTATTGGATTTTAGGTTTTGGGGTACATGAGCAGAGCATGTAAGACAGTTGCGTAGGAACACACATGGCAGTGTGCTTTTCTTTCCTTCTCCCCTTCACCCACATTTGGCATTTCTCCCCAGGCTATCCCTCCCCACCTCCCCCTCCCACTGGCCCTCCCCTTTTCCTCCCAATAGACCCCAGTGTTTAGTACTCCCCTTTCTGTGTCCATGTGTTCTCATTTTTCATCACCCACCTATGAGTGAGAATATGCGGTGTTTCATTTTCTGTTCTTGTGTCAGTTTGCTGAGGATGATGTTCTCCAGATTCATCCATGTCCCTACAAATGACACAAACTCATCATTTCTGATTGCTGCATAATATTCCATGGTGTATATGTGCCACATTTTTCCAATCCAGTCTATTATCAATGGGCATTTGGGTTGATTCCAGGTCTTTGCTATTGTAAACAGTGCTGCAATGAACATTCGTGTACATGTGTCCTTATAGTAGAACGATTTATAGTCTTTTGGATATATACCCAGTAATGGGATTGCTGGGTCCAATGGAATTTCTATGTCTAAGGCCTTGAGGAATCGCCACACTGTCTTCCACAATGGTTGAACTAATTTACACTCCCACCAACAGTGTAAAAGTGTTCCTATTTGTCCACATCCTCTCCAGCATCTGTTGTCTCCAGATTTTTTCATGATCGCCATTCTAACTGGCGTGAGATGGTATCTCAATGTGGTTTTGATTTGCATCTCTCTGATGACCAGTGACGATGAGCATTTTTTCATATGATTGTTGCCCTCATATATGTCTTCTTTCGTAAAGTCTCTGTTCATATCCTTTGCCCACTTTTGAATGGGCTTGTTTGTTTTTTTCTTGTAAATCCGTTTGAGTTCTTTGTAAATTCTGGATATCAGCCCTTTGTCAGATGGGTAAACTGCAAAAATGTTTTCCCATTCTGTTGGTTGCCGATCCACTCTAGTGACTGTTTCTTTTGCCGTGCAGAAGCTGTGGAGTTTCATTAGGTCCCATTTGTCTATTTTGGCTTTTGTTGCCAATGCTTTTGGTGTTTTGTTCATAAAGTCCTTGCCTACTCCTATGTCCTGGATAGTTTTGCCTAGATTTCCTTCTAGGGTTTTTATGGTGCCAGGTCTTATGTTTAAGTCTTTAATCCATCTGGAGTTAATTTTAGTGTAAGGTGTCAGGAAGGGGTCCAGTTTCTGCTTTCTGCACATGGCTAGCCAGTTTTCCCAACACCATTTGTTAAACAGGGAATCCTTTCCCCCTTGCTTATTTTTGTCAGGTTTATCAAAGATTGTATAGTTGTAGATATGTTGTGTTGCCTCCGGTGCCTCTGTTTTGTTGCATTGGTCTATATCTCTGTTTTGGTACCAGTACCATGCTGTTTTGATTACTGTAGCCTTGTAGTATAGTTTGAAATCTGGTAGTGTGATGCCCCCCGCTGTGTTCTTTTTGCTTAGAATTGACTTGGCTATGCGGGCTCTCTTTTGGTTCCATATGAAGTTCATGGTGGTTTTTTCCAGATCTGTGAAGAAAGTCAATGGTAGCTTGATGGGGATAGCATTGATTCTGTAAATTACTTTGGGCAGTATAGCCATTTTCACGGTATTAATTATTCCTAACCATGAACATGGAATGTTTCTCCGTCTGTTTGTGTCCTCTCTGATTTCGTTGAGCAGTGGTTTGTAGTTCTCCTTGAAGAGGTCCCTTACGTTCCTTGTGAGTTGTATTCCAAGGTATTTTATTCTTTTTGTAGCAATTGTGAATGGCAGTTTGTTCTTGATTTGGCTTTCTTTAAGTCTGTTATTGGTGTCGACGAATGCTTGTGATTTTTGCACATGGATTTTATATCCTGAGACTTTGCTGAAGTTGCTTATCAGTTTCAGTTTTTGGGCTGAGGTGATGGGGTCTTCTAGGTATACTATCATGTCGTCTGCAAATAGAGACAATTTGGCTTCCACCTTTCCTATTTGAATACCCTTTATTTCTTTTTCTTGCCTGATTGCTCTGGCTAGAACTTCCAGAACTATATTGAATAGGAGTGGTGAAAGAGGGCATCCTTGTCTAGTGCCAGATTTCAAAGGGAATGCTTCCAGTTTTTGCCCATTCAGTATGATATTGGCTGTTGGTTTGTCATAAATAGCTTTTATTACTTTGAGATACGTTCCATCGATACCGCATTTATTGAGGGTTTTTAGCATAAAGAGCTGTTGAATTTTGTCGAATGCTTTCTCTGCGTCAATTGAGATAATCATGTGGTTTTTGGTTTTGGTTCTGTTTATGTGGTGAATTACGTTTATAGACTTGTGTATGTTGAACCAGCCTTGCATCCCCGGGATGAATCCTACTTGATCATGGTGAATAAGTTTTTTGATTTGCTATTGCATTCGGCTTGCCAATATTTTATTGAAGATTTTTGCATCTATGTTCGTCATGGATATTGGCCTGAAGTTTTCTTTTCTTGTTGGGTCTCTGCCGGGTTTTGGTATCAGGATGATGTTGGTCTCATAAAATGATTTGGGAAGTATTCCCTCTTTTTGGATTGTTTGAAATAGTTTTAGAAGGAATGGTACCAGCTCCTCTTTGTGTGTCTGGTAGAATTCGGCTGTGAACCCGTCTGGACCTGGGCTTTTTTTGAGTGGTAGGCTCTTAATTGCTGCCTCGACTTCTGACCTTGTTATTGGTCTATTTATCGTTTCAGCTTCCTCCTGGTTTAGTCTTGGGAGGACACAGGAGTCCAGGAATTTATCCATTTCTTCCAGGTTTACTAGTTTATGTGCATAGAGTTGTTTGTAATATTCTCTGATGATGGTTTGAATTTCTGTGGAATCTGTGGTGATTTCCCCTTTATCATTTTTTATTGCATCTATTTGGTTGTTCTCTCTTTTATTTTTAATCCATCTGGCTAGTGGTCTGTCTATTTTGTTGATCTTTTCAAAAAACCAGCTCTTGGATTTATTGATTTTTTGAAGGGTTTTTCGTGTCTCAATCTCCTTCAGTTCAGCTCTGATCTTAGTTATTTGTTGTCTTCTGCTGGGTTTTGAGTTTTTTTGATCTTGCTCCTCTAGCTCTTTCAATTTTGACGATAGGGTGTCAATTTTGGATCTCTCCATTCTCCTCATATGGGCACTTATTGCTATATACTTTCCTCTACAGACTGCTTTAAATGTGTCCCAGAGGTTCTGGCATGTTGTGTCTTCGTTCTCATTGGTTTCAAAGAACTTTTTTATTTCTCTCTTCTTTTCATTGTTTACCCAGTCAACATTCAAGAGCCAGTTGTTCAGTTTCCATGAAGCTGTGTGGTTCTGGGTTGGTTTCTGTATTCTGAGTTCTAACTTGATTACACTATGGTCTGAGAGGCTGTTTGTTATGATTTCAGTTGTTTTGCATTTGTTGAGCAGTGCTTTCCTTCCAATTATGTGGTCAATTTTTGAGTAGGTGTGATGTGGTGCTGAGAACAATGTATATTCTGTGGATTTGGGGTGGAGAGTTGTGTAAATGTCTATCAGGTTTGCTTGCTCCAAGTCTGAGTTCAAGCCCTGGATATCCTTGTTGATTTTCTGTCTGGTTGATCTGTCTAATATTGACAGTGGAGTGTTAAAGTCTCCCACTATTATTGTGTGGGAGTCTAAGTCTCTTTGTAAGTCATTAAGAACTTGCCTTATGTATCTGGGTGCTCCTGCATTGGGTCCATATATGTTTAGGATCGTTAGCTCGTCTTGTTTTATCGATCCTTTTACCAGTATGTAATGGCCTTGTTTGTCTCTTTTGATCTTTGTTGCTTTAAAGTCTATTTTATCAGAGATGAGAATTGCAACTCCTGCTTTTTTTTGCTCTCCATTTGCTTGGTAAATCTTCCTCCATCCCTTTATTTTGAGCCTTTGTGTATCCTTGCATGTGCGATGGGTTTCCTGGATACAGAAAACTGATGGGTTTTGGATTTTTATCCGAATTACCAGTCTGTGTCTTTTGATTGGTGCATTTAGTCCATTTATATTTAGGGTTAATATTGTTATGTGTGAATTTGATACTGCCATTTTGATGCTAAGTGGCTGTTTTGCCTGTTAGTTGTTGTAGATTCTTCATTATGTTGATGCTCTTTA